TCCCGCTCGCGCTCTCTCCCTCCCCGGCACACACTCACGCGCAGAAAACTCGGGCTCTCGCGGCTCCGGTTGTAAGGGAAGGGGCTCGCCCTGCCTTTCTCTTGCGGACACTTTCCGAACCCAAACACTCCAGCGGGGGAGGGAGGGCAGTGAGGTATGTATTTATTTATGTATTTACGTGTGTGTGCATTTTTGTATGTATACATGCGCAGGCCTTCCAGAGAACAGGAGAAGCTGAACCAATCGAGGGGAAGAACTTGAGGCTAGAGTTGGAAGGTTGAGCCAATCGTGAGACCAAAGAGAGAGCAAAAGGGTGACCTGATGGGTAGAATTGAATCCCGCCCCTGGTTCTGCTAAAATGGGAGGTCTGGGATCATCCAGGAATAAATAAAAATAGCCGATTTCAATTTACAGGGGGCCCTTAGCTATAGCAGTTCCCCAATTCTGCCTGCCCCACCTTAAGGAGCGAAAGGTAGAGCAGTGGTGGGCCAAAATAGTTGATCCTGTACTTTCTGTCATTGAGTAGCATGGTAGGAAGAAAGCACCAAGTTTTCAATCCTATTCCATTTTCTTCTCTCCATATGAATAGGAGTTAGCCCAAGTGAGCCCTGTCCTTTCTACACTACTCTGCAAAAAGGAGGAAAACAAACAGAAGAATAGAGTTACTCTTTAAAGCTGTCAACATTTCCCCTTGTTTCCTATACACTTCCTCTGGAACCAGACTTTTCCAGCAAGCATCTTACAAAGAGAGGTGTATCAACAGGTAGAAGATTTGCAGATGTCCATAGGACTGAAGACTGCTGCTTCTCTGGTATTCCATACTGTGAGGAACAAAGGGTACTGGAATGGGCGCTGCTTCCTTTTACTTATCTGATCTCCCCAAACACCAAAATAGTAGCATTCGCAAGTGTTGATTACGGAGAGCAATTATTACACTTCAGATTGTTTACATGCATTTTCACTCTGGTATCTACCTGCTTCCTTGTTTTCTGGCTTGGCAATACTGAACATAAACTGGTTTATGTCTGGTTACATCACTAGTTAAGCTATTCTACCAAAGATTCAGAAAAAACAGACAACTGTGAGACAGCAGCAAAAAAGTAACATCTTCCCCGTCACTGCTGCTATCTAGTGGTTGTGTGGTTTTTTGAAGCCTGGATATAAATCCCTATCACTGATACATCCCATATTGGCTGTTTATTGAAAATCTTCCAGATGGCTGTTCACGCTAAGAGATACCTAGTGGATATCAGGTTAGACAAAGCTAGTCTATTACATTATGTTGCTCTTTTCCCTACCGTGTTTCCTTGCTCATAATTTTTCTCTCTCTCCTCTTCCTCTCTCTAGGACTTTACAATGAAAAAAAAATTACACTTGCTCAACTCAGTCCCCATTGTCAGAGACCTGATGACTAGTGTCTTTTGCATAAGCTGCTGCCCCCAACTTGCTTATATATCTACTCATCCTTTTAGCATTTAGAGAGATTGATCAGGTTTGGACCAGTCCTCCATTGCTGTTCACAGAAAGAAGATGACATGGCAGAAATGATTGCTTATGTTCTTTCTTTAGGAAGTTCCATAGGCCTAAATGAACCAAGGGTGAGATTGTGAAACATAGCATTCTCTTGTGTAAGTGTTCTCTCTGGGCAATTTTTTCTAATTCATTTTTTCTTCCTAGCACCTAAAAAGTTTTCAGGCTTTTGTTCCTTTGCACCATACAAAAAGAACATTACTTTAGTTCTTTTTCTGGATGATGCATCAATCCCTGTCCTTAAAAACTTGTCTTCAGGAAAGAAAGGATGGGTAAACAACTCAAGACAGACTATTCTTTACTATCTCAACTCTTTTGATTTCACAAGTAAGTGAGCTATAGCTGCCCTATGCTATCACACTCTGGGAGGAAGGGATAGACATTACTGGGCATGGCACATGGCAAAGGAATAGATAAGGCAGTGTTGCTGTAAATAAACATAGATTGTCCCTAATATTACAGAAATACAATATCTAACATTGGTTACTACTTTTTTTTATGTATCAGTATTGAACTATGAATCCAGAAGAAGGAATAATTAAAAGTAACCTCAATAAAAAGGAAAAGTGGCCTAATAATGCTAGAAACATTAATCTGTATTTTTCTAGTCATGAAACTTACAAAATATTATCTATATTCAATGGTAACAAATATACTGGGATTCCTACTTATTTGAAGCATTTTATCACCACATTTCAGCCAAAAAGTAAATTCCAGAGTGGTATACGAAGATAAATAAAGCATAATTTCTCTGATGTGCATAAATCTGTACCCACTTGTAGGCCTTAGAACAGGGTGTTACAAAAGCAAGTTGGAGAGGGGTGTCTGTATCTTCTGGATCCAAAGTTCTGTTGGGACCCAAGATTAGTGTCAATATGCAAAGCTGGCCAGACTTCCTTTTTTTCATCCTGTTACAATCTCCCAATTGTCTTGGACCATGTCACCTTTTCTAGCAATTAAAATCCTAATAATTCATAAGTTAGTTCATTCTAGAGTATTCTTATATTTTCAGATGCTTTTCTCTGTACCACAACGTACGAAAAGTAAGTAAAATTTTATCTGTATAACAAGACTTGCTGGCTTTCAGCTTCAATTGTCAAATCTAACAGCTATCTATTATCAAGATAGAACTCCCACTGAAGATTCTGTTTTTTGCAACTGAAGCCATTGTTTTCCACACAATTTTAGCTACTCCAAGTCCATGTTCTAGATCACATATTTGATCCAAAACTGTCACCAAAAGCCTGCATCTTTAAAGGAAGATATTTAGAAAGTACAAGCCTCATAATTTTGTGTACGCCAAAGCAGTGGTCACGAGCTCATCCTTCTCAACAGTTCTAAACAATATCATATCACCCCAAGTATGCAGAACTAAATGTGCAATATGTATTGTACATTTTGATAGTATAAATGTTGTAAATTTGGAGCCAAAAATAAAGTGCAACTAAATATTAATTATTTACTGTCGTATTTTACTATTATGAAGATACCATTCATATGTTCCTCAAGCAGGAAACATACTGTCTACCAGACAAGTTTATAATGGTCTTTGGAATATGTTCCAGTTTTCTCATTCTTCTCATAAGAAATCTGAGCTATGCCTTTAAATCAATTTTTATTGTAAGAATAGTGCATTCAGTTCCCTTCCTTTATCTGTGTAGCACTTAAACTATTTATTTGTTTATATGGCATTATATATGTTTAGTACTTAAACATGCTTTTGCATAATAATGAAAAATCGTATAAATTAGGTTTATTGTATTACGTTTGATTTACCTTAGAAATATCAGCTAGCTATTTTCCAATGTTGTGCCATGAAGACATCTTAAAAAGTACCTTGGAATAGTTTCATCTTTGGAGAAGAGGTTTTTACTGTTGAAGGTAATTTAAACATTAATGTTTATTTACCTTGTAATGTTATATCCCACTTTTGCTTTACAAAACATACAGATAAGATCATGAAGGATAGAAAAATAACCAAAAAAAAAGCTGTAATTTGTAAACATCTGAAGTCCCAGTGATAGCACAAACAGCCACGTTTCTTCCAAATAACAAGCTGACACAATTCATACATTATACTACACGATGTTTTTGTTTTGTTTTGTTTTTTGTTTTTTTTAATCTCTGCTTTATTTAATCACTCAGAATTGGCTTGATTCACTCAAAATGCTAAGGCATAAACCAGAGTATATAAGCCTCAGTGGCCGAGTTCACACAACACATTAAGCCCAAATCATTCATTCGGTGAACCAAGGCACAGAATGATGGCAGGCCTCATTACAGAAGTCATTCCACAGTGGTCCCACAACAGCCAACGGCCTCTATCCTCCAACAACCCTGCGATATAAGTTAGATTAATTATCAATTGGAAGCTTAAAAATGGCACAGTATAGGACTATTAAAATAC